ATTGTCACATTTATTTTTTTTATCATAACTAATTCCAGTAACACATGTATAACATTACAGAATTAAAAAAGCAAGAGATTCTAATTACATCGTCAGTAACCATTTTTGTGAATCTAAGACAAAAAAAATTATGAAAAAATTCTGACAATGGTTTTATTATTCTGCTTTTATAGTCAAAAACGACATTTACCAACAAACAATTCGTTCCAAGTCTTTTAGATAAGTGATTTACTTATAATACTATGTTCAGCATAAGGGAAGCAGATGGTGAATCTCTATTGGGATTACATTATTACACTTTCTATGATATGCATTTTCAAAAAAAAGTGTATGAAAAACTTCTAAAAACAACTTAATCAAAATTCGACAAAACTAGATAGAATATACACTTTGTTTTTTTAATTAATATATAAACAACGACAAGGAAATATTATGAAATAATTAAGGAAGTACATTTATATTAAATGTTAACCTTGTGACCTCATCTTCAACTGATGTTGAACAAAATAATTCCTGGTTTAGAACAAACATATTCAGTTATTCACTTGCAACACAACTGGTTCTGTATAGTGATTACTTTGAATTTGCTATACAATATCTCATGACCAATTTCGGATCTGATCTGTAAGGAGATAAGTAATGAAAAAGGACAAAGGGAAAGCAGATATCGAGGAAGAACACAGGAAACAGTGGTAAAGGCTATTGCTAAAGAACGAAGCAAACGTTTATCTTTTGGGAGAAAAACTATTGTTTGGATACAGAAAGTAAGAAAACCTGTTCTTCCTTCTACTAATAATGCTTTCGTTGAAGACTGGAAAGAGCCTGGGAGCATTAGGTATCATCAGCGTTGCGAAGGCTTTAAATCTGAAGAAAACAAATGATGAAAGAAAAGAGAAACGGTACCGAATATGCAGTAAAAACCTAAGAGAAAATATCATTGAAAATGGTAAAATACTAAAAGGCTTTGTGTTTAATAGCAATTTGGAAACAACCTGCTCTTTAATCGAGGCTTTCCTTGGTTCCAATGAATACACTTTGAGATTAATAATTGGGAATGACTACGAGGTTCAAGAAAGTTTCCAGAGAGCAAAGGATCTACCCTAAAATCTTAAAAATAAGACAGATTTAATAATAAGCCGGTTTTGAAAATAAGCCACCTATTTCTTGCATAAAAAATTACTCGAAAATAAGCCTGTTTTGAAAATAAGCCGGTCATGCATATGACAATGCCATTTAGGAAAGATGTTAAACGTTTGACGATTGCCACGTCTTAAAAGTTTGACGATTGAAAACTTCGACAATTTTTTTTTACTGTGCAAAATAAAACTGAGTAATCTTTCTTTAATTCATTTAACCTTTACCAATTTTTGCATAAGACATGGTATGAACTAAGTCTGTAGAAACAAATAAACTGATGTAAAATTACAAATAAAGGGTAGTTTTTAAAGTTTTTTTTTTTACCAGTAAGCATATAACGCTGGCTAAAAAAATCATTGCGGAAGCAGCTAACATGGTGAATTTTTTTCATGAAATTGTTAGAAACAATAATTATCTCATCCAGACCTGTACAAGCTAACGGTGTGTTTAAAATTGTTATAATTAAATAAGTAAATGGATAAAAGGAAGATTTTGTTTGTAAAGCATTTAACTGTCAGGTAACACTGCCCGAGGCAAGAAACCTGCTGATCGGAAGGGCTTGGTAATAATTTAAGATTTCAATGTACCCTATTATTGAGTTGTTTAAATATGTGTTTGTTTGACTAATTTATCAAGTGATTCAATTACAAGCGGATATCTTATATTTATTTTTACTTTTTAAAAACAAGTTTATATTTCATGTAAATTTATAAGCTGTAAACAATAAAATTAATTTTTCGGGATCGACATTCTCAAAAAATAAAGTAGACGATTACATCATTGAAGTAAAGAAAACATTCACCGGGGAATGCCAATGAATAAAAAAAATGACGAGAGAAAACTTTGACGAGCTTAAGTCATTCGTTAATGTTTCCTCCTTGTCAAACTTTCCACTTTTACAGTATTTTTTCTACACGCAAGATACTGAACAGAGTATTATTGTAATTATTTTATTATATTATATTCATGATGATTTAATTTTACATCGAACAAGTAGTTCCTATTCTATCGATTACACTTTATTCAATAATTGTATTGAAAATAAACCGGAATTGTGCTGTCTTTTCTTACCAGTTTTTTGCATTGATAATAAGCCGGAATTTGAAAAGAAGCCGGTTTTGAAAATAAGCCCCAACTTTCTTACCAAAACTTTAAATAAGCCGCGGCTTATTTTCAAGATTTTAGGGTATATCCATCAGGCTACTCCTGGAAATTACCAAAAATGATTTGGGAATCCAGGGAACAACGAGGTTCTCCATCTTTTCTTCCTAAAGAAACAAAGACATCTGGTGTATCACTCGGAGGAAGAGGTACAGGAGTAATAGGAGACGGTCGAAGAGGAATAGGAGGAGGCGGAGGAGGAGTAGGTCAAGGAGGAGGAAGAGGAGGAGGTCTAGGAAAAGGAGATGATGGATTAGGAAAAGTAATAATACTGGGAGCACTGGGTGCGTGGTGTTTATCGAAATTTTGGGCCTGGTATAAAAACAAAGGGGGTAAGAAAGGTGGAGGCGGAGGTGGCGTTGATGATAGAAAAAAAAGTGATAAAGATGGAAGTAATATTAATGGAGGTGGAAGTGATGGTAAGTTTGAAAGACAAATAATAATCGAATAAACTAATATGTTTAGAGGTTATATTAAATTGAACCACTGTACCACTGTAAAACAATATTTTGCTAGAATATGCTAGAGATTTATCAGAAGTTTGTACATTTGTAAATTAATGTTAAAATTTGCGTAAAACTTAAACAAAACGCTGAACATATCAACACGTATCAACTGATTTTTAGTCGCTATCTATTTACTTCATCAAATACAAATGAATTTTTTTCTTCCTTTTTACACATCATTACCAAGAACGTGTTATTCTTTTGAAAATGTCATTTGTTAGTTTGCATTAACAGTTGTTATTGTCTAGTGAATGACCATTTCTTTTTCTACTTTTTCTTTTCAAAGATGGCTATAGCGGCACTTGGGACGAAAGATGGAAACAAATGAAAAAGAATGCAATATAAAGGCAATAATTACTACCTATTACGTATCGGGGGTACTGAAGCGCACTGGTACGTCAAAGACAGAGCCCGTCATGCAGGATCTATCCTTAAAAAGTACCGGGATACACGTCATTATCTGGAGTTTGTAGGTTCGATAAATGAAGACTTCAAAGATATGCCAGGAAAACATGAGTCTAATCCAGTGCCAAAAATAAAAAAGAGTGACATGAAAAGAATTAGATAATTGATCAGCTTTGAGTTTTTCATAAACACACTTATGCATGTATTAGAATTTCAAGAAAAAGAGAAAACTATGGAAATTTTTAAGTCCAATGTAGCCATTACATTTACTGGCTTCAGTATAAGGGAAACGGAAGGCTAATATTTCATATGCATATGTCGAAAACAAGTATAAAACCTTGCATAATTTGCATTTTGGAAAACATTGTTTTCATCCCAAACAGCTTTAAAGTCTGAAAATTCAATTTATATTTTAATTTATTTGTAAATAATGACAAAGAAATGTTTGACAACAACTCATTAAATCATGTTTTTGTTGTACATTCATGCCATATGATGAAAAAAGTTTTTGTTGCATTAATATTTAGCCTGCATTGTTTAAATCTTATTTTAAACAAATATGCATTTTTCAATCAATTTTTGCAAGCTTGGTGTACGAGCTAAGAAAGTAACAATTTAACGAGGCCGAGTCTAATTATTTCTGCCCTGGGGATTTTGATAATTTTTTTTATAATTAATTTTTACTGTTATATTAATTATTTTAGGATTAAAATATCGAATGTTTACCACCCCGTTTTCTTAGTGGGCCATCTTAAATGTCTTTACTATTGGACCCTATGGGAATTAGTTGGAAAATCGCCAAATCATTACATTTTTTCAATATTTTTTGTACTTCTGCCCTAGGGATTTCTTTTTCCTCCAAGTAAATGAAAATAAATGTAAAAAGTCACTAAATTGTGAAATTTCAAAAAAGTTTCCCATCTCGATTGGTCTAGGTCGAAGCCAAATACCTCTAAAATTGCCATACTACGGGTAAAAATACATATCTATGGTGACGTTGTTAGAGCCATTTCAACGTTATTTTTCCAATAATTGTCGTAAAATCACTAGGTCAGATCAGTAGAAGTTACAAATAATGTTAATTTTGTATTAAAATTAAAATAATTTAATGACTGCATGAAATTAAAAAGCTGCGCAAAGTGATGCACACTCGAATTAGACTTGGCCTCGTTAAGGCTTTTAAAGAACAAGATATAGTTTCAATACTTTAGCTCTATAATATTCTAATAGATGAAATTAAAATTCATTCTTTTTTAATCATAGGAATCCCATGAAGTAAGAATACAAAACCATTTTTTCTCAGATGACCTTCTAAATGCTAAATTCTAAATTCTGACTGTGACGTCATTAACTTGAGCTTTTCCCAGTACTTTCTTAAATGTTGAAGAAGACATCATTTTCAAACATACTCGGCATGTCTTTCCGACAAAGATTTTGAGATTTTATTTTTCAAAAAAGTTTACATAATATATACAAAAATGTGAAGTGTGAAGTAGTCGATGGTGGCAGACAATATTTTTCTCTGTAAAGTTCCAAACGATCAAAGAATAGTGTTAATAATATTTAGATCTCACAACCAGAGACTTCAAGCCTTAATAAGTAGAAGAATTATTATAGACAGGATAAGAGGATATTTTCATTTTTGATAAAAACTCCTCTGATGATGAATTACATTTCCAAAGAAGTGAGCATTTTAATCTTAATTCATTGCTTGGCTGAAATAATGTACTCATATGAATAAATGTATTATTACCATATCTATCCAGAATGTTGATTCATTAGAAACATGTCTTTATGTGCTAAGAGGATAATCGTCTGTGTCAGCAATGCTCTATTCTATGATTGTTATTTACCTTTATATTTTATTTACCTCTTATTCCACTGTATGAATTAAGAGAAATAAACAATCAACTTATTAATTTTTTGAATGAAAAATTGTTGCAAGCATGTCACCTTCTCAAAATCTAACAATATCCTTATATACATGTGTGACTGGAATACAGCGAAAGACGTATTACTTTGAATCTAAGAGATCCATCGGTTAAAATATGCCAATTAAAAACGAAACTTCAAATTAATTCAAAACCATTGTATTGTGCTTAATCCTTAATGTGCAAAACAGTAATGAAGAAGTGACGCGTCTAGCTTTGAAATGCATGTAAGTTTTAATGAACAAAAAAAATGGTCTGATTACCGATGTGATACCTTTATTGTCATGAGAGTCGGCGTGGAAGGGCGACCCGTGTTCGTGCTGGTTATCTTGCATTACCTTTGTTTGCGTTTCATTGCAGTAACGAATATTTTTGTGTTTGTTTGTATACTGCACTGACCTGTATAACTGTTGAAATTGATATAGTATCTTACTTTCCTGCAATAGAAGAACAGTTATTTTTTGTCGCTACTGAGTATTGTCTATCATGCGTCCATATACATCTTTGACAATTCATTTCACTGAACAGTGACAAAGTGACTGTTTCTATTAATAGGGGCCCGCAGATATAGCGAGAGTTATAATAAATATGATGGACAAATCCTTTTTTACGAATCGTGGTCAGCTTTAAACTGGTGTGCATTTAAGCATTGAATTCATATTTTTGGATGTCGTCGGTCCTACAATCACACCTGGCCGTTCCGACAAATTAAATACTGTTCGTTAGCGTGGTATCATAATTTGTCGGCACGGGCAGGTGTGTTATAGGTCCGACAACATCCAAAAAACATGAATTCAATGTTTATATTTACATTTTTCAACTTTCCCTCTTCAGAATTGTTTATTTCGTTCATGTTTAATGTGAATTTAGAGCCCTTCAAAACTGCTGTGGTTAATAGATGTAAGAGCCGTTTGTGACGTCGTAAAGTTAAATAACGCAAATGAACATTGCGAGGAAAAAAGTGATAAATTAATTTTTAACGCACATAACGTAATTTTTACGT